TAACGTATGTATTTCTAGGATACTTTTACATTTTAAGGTGAAATTTTTATTTATTTATTTTTTGACATACTTGCCTATTCCTGCTTAGAGGGATATTCCAACCAAAAATGGAAAATCTGTCGTCATTTACCCTCTCATCTTTCAAAACCTGTTTGACTGTCTTTCTTCCGAGGAACAAAAAAGGAGTTAGCAGATTATTCAAGCTGCTCCTTTCCAGAAAATGATTGTGAATGGCGACTTAGGTTTCAGTTGTTTCCTCACACAAAGCTATTGTATGACTTTAGAAGACTTGAAATATACAGTAGTGCATGAGTCATATGGTTTACTTTTATAATGGTTTATGGTGCTTATTTGTCCTTTTTGGAGCTTGACAATCCTTAGTCCCCATCTACTGTTAGGAAAACAGCAGTGTGAACGTTCTTCAAAACATTTCCTTTTGTGTTCCACAGAAGGGTTTGGAACAATACAAGATTTATTTTAATTTTTTTTGAACATTGAATCTCTTTAAGACAAATATTGACCGATAATAGTGGCTGGTCGATTTTGTTTGAGGTCTTTAATGATGTCTGTCATTCTCTCTATATCACAGGTGCCTACAGAACTACATTCCTCCTCAGTCCTTGACGCTGTCCTGCCCGGTGTGCAGACAGACCTCCATCTTGCCCGAGAAAGGTGTGGCTGCACTACAGAACAACTTCTTCATCACAAACCTCATGGAGGTGCTGCAGAGAGACCCAGAATGTTCTCGGCCGGAGGCCTGCAGCGTGCTGGAGTCTGTCAGCGCAGCAGCCGCTGGGAAACCGCTCTCCTGCCCCAATCACGAGGGCAAGGTAAGCCTCTTACCATCTGATGATGAAACCAAGTTTGGCAACATTTGGTGGGAATATGAAGGAAAAGCCATCAAAACAGTTGTTGGTAAAATTGCAGCCAGAATGTAGAAATGCCTGTACAGCTACAAGTGAATGGGAATTTCTTTACCACCTCTCATTTTGTCTACATTTGAGCCAATTTTTCTTGTTGCTTTGTCCTCATTGTTCTTTCTCATTCCTCTGCAACACACCTGAAGCTGCAAGCTTCTTTCTTTTATGTGTCTTCAAAGTCATACTACATGTGTGCTTACGCTGTTCAGGCCTGTTAGCATTCATTAGCAACCTTTGATAATCCATGAACTTTTCCACGACATTCTAATTTATTGAGATGCACCTGTATATATTTGTGTGTGTACTTGTTATTAAAATATTTTTTATAGTAATAAAACTAAAGATAATATTATAATGATAGAATAATATATTCCAAAAATATTCATATAACATGTATTATAATAATTAAGTCTCATTTTACTAGTGACTAAATATAGAACAAAAAAATTTATTGTTGTATTATTTTTATATAATTTATGCTTTATATATAAATGTGTCTAAATAAAAATATGTATTTATTAAAATATTATATATATATTTTTTAAAAAGCATGAAACAATTATGATTAACAATATTATATCAAAAATATGAATATAAAATAATATATGATAATTATTAAGTCTCATTTTACTAATGAGCAACTATAGAACAAAATATTAGTTATATAAGTTATATAATTTATGTTTTATATATAAATGTGTATATAAATATAAATATGTATTTAATAAAATATTTTAGATATTTATAAAAGGCATTACAATATAATATTAAAAACATGAATAAAATAATATATGATAATAATTAAGTATCCTTTTAGTAGTGACTACACAGAATAAAACAATGCTTTTATGAGCTGTTTTAAGTCATTATTGTGAGTAATATTGCAGACTGTTTAGCTCTTTTCCATAATTTCCCTTCTAAAATTTCTTCTACCTGAGATTTTTGTTTGTTTTTTATTCGGTCAGGCTGCCCCAACTAACAGCTGCCATTGAGCTGGTGAATGAAATCTCTCAACAGCTGATAGAGAGGAAGAACGAAGCCGTCAATGAGATCAACATGACATTTGAGGAGCTTGAGAGGGCGTTGCACCAACGCAAAGCCGCGCTCATCACCGATCTGGAGAACATTTGTAGCACCAAGCAGAAGGTCAGAAATCTCTTGATAGGTTAAATAGGTTGTACTCTCCTATCTCTCTAACGCTCCTTTCTGCGGTGTCCTCTGCAGGTGCTTCAGGCGCAGCTATCATCCCTACTGCAGGGAAAAGAGCACATCCAGAGCAGCTGCAGCTTCACTGAGCAGGCCCTGAACCACGGCAGCGCCACCGAAGTCCTGCTGGTCCAAAAGCAGATGAGCGAGCGTGTGAGTGCCCTCGCTTGTCACGACTTCCCTGAACAGCCGCACGAGAACGCCCACTTGGACTGCCAGATAGAGACAGAAGGCCTGCGACGCTCCATCCAGAACCTGGGCGTCCTGCTGACGACGGGAGCCGTGGGACACACCAGCGTGGCCACAGGAGAAGGCCTCAGACATGCGCTGGTCGGTCAGCACGTGACCGTAACTGTTACCACTAAGGATAAGGACAGCGAGCTCGTGCGGACCGGTAATGCGGTCCTCCGAGCCGAAATAACGGGGCAGGACAGAGTGCGGGCGGTGGAGGTGGAGGTCGTGGACAATAAAAATGGAACTTATGAGGTAGGGTACACGCTTAAGAGCGAAGGGGAGTACTCGTTCTCTCTGATGCTGTACGGACAGCCTGTGCGGGGCAGCCCGTTCAAACTGAGGGCGATAAAGCCGTCAGACGTGCCCCAGTCTCCGGATGATGTGAAGAGGAGGGTAAAATCTCCCAGCGGAACAGGAGGACACATCAGGCAGAAAGCCGTACGGAGACCCTCCAGCATGTACAGCACTACCAAAAAGAAGGAAAATCCTATTGAAGATGAGCTCATTTATAGAGTAGGTAAGAAACTTTGGTGTGGATGATAACCACACAGTAAGTTGTGCACAGTAAGTTTGACATTAAATTGTTGTGATATAGATATTTGGAGTAAACGTCACAGTTACGTCTCTCGCAGCTGCATGCATTGTGGTGGCAGAAAAAACACTGGTAACAATTGGAGGGAAATGGGTAAAATCCATGGAATAAGAGAAAACATTTTTTTTGTGCCTTTGGATGTCAGAACCGGAATGCAAATCATTTTTATTGAATACTGTCGTCAAAGAAGCCATTTTAAGTTAAACGCAGACGTTTAAAAGGACAGACTATGGATGAAACCTGCTGTGATTGCTCTACGTTTAAAGCATAAATTTGATTTAAACAATAGGTCTACATAATAATCACACGCAGTTCATAGGGGACATGTTGTATTAGCCCTACAGTTACAGCATGAAATACTACATTTTACATAACATTTACCTATTTTATCTCACAATTCTGACTTTTTTTCTCGCAAATGCAAGTATATATCTCCTGGTTTGGACTTTATAACTTAATTTAACTCAACGATAGCGTGTTTGTCAATTCTGAGGAAAAAAAGCCAGAAGTCAGGATATAAACTCATGATTCTGAGCCGAGGGGAAACGAGAGAATGACGAGTTGTTTTTCCTTATCAGAATTGAGATATAATCTCGGAATTGTGAAAAATAAAGTCCGAATTTTAAAATATAAACTCAAATTTACCTTTTTTTTTATTCTTTTATTCCATGGCTTCCATAGACTGCTACTTGAAAACTGTCATTTTCTGCCACCATATAGGCTCCGCCCACAAGAAAACGTCATCACTGTTTGCAAACACCGAATTGGTATGTTATTTTGATTTTGAATGGTTGTGAATTTCTTTTGTCTGACCCCTCAGGTTCTCGTGGACGGGAGAAGGGAGAGTTCACCAATCTACAGGGCATCTCTGCTTCCATTAATGGGAGGGTCATTGTAGCAGACAGCAACAACCAGTGTATACAGGTTAGTCAGTGCATGGCAATATTATGAAAATTATAGCCTTCATTTTATCTGAAGCGTTTTAAAGGATATTGAAGTAATCAGCTGGTGTGTTTTACTTGGGATCAACGAAGACATATAGAAAGTGTTTTATTGCATTTAATGCAAAATTGGATCGTTTGTTTGTTTTTATGTAGGTGTTTACCAATGATGGGCAGTTCAAAGCGCGCTTCGGGGTCAGGGGTCGTTCTCCAGGACAACTGCAGAGGCCGACAGGGGTGGCAGTCGACACAATTGGAGACATAATTGTAGCTGATTATGATAACAGATGGATCAGCATCTTCTCCCCTGATGGGAAGTTCAAGGTAATGTTTAGATCACAATTTACAGCTTATACGTGTGTATACATTACCACTCAAAAGTTTGGAATAATTAAGATGTTTGTGAAAAAAAAAACTTTTCAGAAAAAAAAAATCACTTAATTTTTTAAAATTATTTTTAAGTCAAATAAATGAATAATTATATTCAGAAAGGACAAGTTAAATTTATCAGACGTGACAGTAAAGACATTTATAATCATTATAATTATAATCTATAATCAAAAAATTATATTACAAATAAATGCTGTTCTTTTGAACTTTCTGTTTATCAAAGAATCCTGAGGAAAAAATGTTTTCCACAAAATATTAGACAACAAAAGCCATTTGATATAAATTGAGAACCCTTATGGTTGTATATATTTAAGTACCAAATCAGCATATTAGAATGATTTCTGAAGGATAAATATATGAATGTATATGCATGTAAATATTTCCAAAATATATGCTGTATGTGAGAGTATGTATATATACATAATAAATATACTCAGTAGACACACATATATTATGTAAACAAAAACATTTATTTTGGATG